TTTTCAGTTATTACTAATATATATATATATATATATCTATTTTTTAACGTTTATAATATTTATCATTAAATTAACCATTGTATTTAATATTGTATTGTCATATAGCATATGTATGTCAGATTTTAAATTAAGAAAATGATTAATACATACTTGATTTAACACATTTGTTGATACTTGTTATATTTAGTTATTAAAATATAATAAAAATACATCTCAATTTAATCAATTTTTGCACCTTTATGCATAATTATATTTTAAAATTTGTTTGTTTTTAATTTCATATCAAAAAATAATAACTTTTTAAAAAATGTGTTGAACAGTACATTGAACCAAGATATGTAACAATAATGTCCTTTAAATTAATTAAATGTATATTTTTGTCATTGGATATGTATAAGCAAGCCAAATTAACTTGTTTGAATAATTGAGGGATTTTTTTGCTACAAAATCTGAAGATGTGGATCAAATGCAATATTCTGAAGAAGGCTCCTTACTTTTTTTTAATTTAATTCCAAATTTTTATACTAGGACGTAATAATTCATGATCCAGCACTTTCCACCCAACCAACAACACTTTTGTCAATTTCTCTCATATATATACATAATTTGCTTTTGTTTCTTGGAAAAGTTTTTTTTTTTTTTCCTGAAAAGAGCGTCCTTATTTTTTTATACAATTTATTTATTTATTTTTTATTTATAAACAGTGCGAAGTCAAGCTCAATTGTGAATTCATTTTCGACATTGCTGCTGGAAGTGTGGGAGAAATGGGATGTGAGGGGAATGGTTCTTTTTAGTCTCACCTTACAAATTGTCCTCTCTTACTTAGGTTGGCGTAGGAAATACACAATTAACCCATTCTCCAAAACCATTCTATGGTTTGCCTACTTAGGTGCCGACTGGATTGCGATTGCTACTTTGGGGAAGCTTTCCGGTTCCTATACTAAATCTCCCACCACCAATGTTTTAAGAGCATATTGGGCTCCTTTACTGTTGCTACATCTGGGTGGCCCTGACACCATCACAGCTTATGCTTTTGAAGACAACAAGTTTTGGATTAGGCACCTCCTCATCCTTGTTGTCAAAGCCATTTTTGTCGTTTATGTCATTTGTTTGTCGTGGACCTTTTCTTGGCTCTCATTTTTGAGTCTCCCTCTCGTCTTAGCTGGTATTATTAAATATGTAGAGAAGATATTGTGTCTCAACTTCAATAATTCACAAAAAGCAAAACCAATCATCTTTAGTAACTTTAGTCCTCAAGATCCTCAACTCATTGAGTCTCCAACCCTTGTTCGCCTTCAAAAAGAAGGCCCAAGTAAGTTGGGAGCTTATCAATTGTTTACAGTTATGAGACCTGATGTCAATGATTACCACTCTTCCCGTAGTTTTTCCTCTATGTATTTAAGGATCCAAACTCAAATCGGGAAAACTACAATTATAAATGACCCTGCTAAACCTTTTGAGAATCTTGATTTTTTTCTGAGCTCCTTCGACATTTTTGCTTTTCAACTAGAATTTATGTTTGATGTTGTTTACACCAAAGTTGTTTTGATTTACACCAAGTTAGGATGTTCATTGCGCCTCATCAGTTTCGTGAGCTCCTTCTCAGTTGTACTGCTCTTCTTTATCAGCATCATTAATGAGACAAAAATCCATTTCTCAAGAGTTGATATTGCCATAACGGGCATCTTGTTGATTGGAGCTATTGCACTGGAGCTTTATGCAGGATGGGTAATGCTCTCTTCTAATTGGGCAATTTTTGTTGCGGCATTTCATCATAGTCCGTTGGTACGCAAAATATTTTGCGTGGCCTTAATGGGATTCCCTCGGTTATTGTATCAAGGTAAAAGTTGGTCAAATCAAATTGGACAATTTGATCTGTTAAAATATTGTTTGCTTTACAAGAAAAAGAAAGAGAAGAAATCATGTGGCATTCTACCAAAGATCAACAATGATATTACTGAAATGTGGCACAAATACATGTTCACTAAACTTGGTCGGGTTCAGATTCCAAGTTATTTAATGGAAACAGGCAATTTCGTGTACCCTGTTTGGTCGTTCCTACTGAGCGAGTACTTCCGAGCCTCAAGGGGGGAAAATGCACTTAAGCAACATGATGATCTAAGATGGAGCTTAGATTTCGACTTTGATTATAGCATCATACTATGGCACCTTGCCACAAGTGTTTGCTATTATCAAGAGCATCAGGATGATGATGACAATGATAACAAAGATGAAAAGGCCAAAATTAGTAAACAAGTATCAGATTACATGATGTATCTGCTGGCCACGTGTCCTGCCCTGATATTGCCTGACCAAAGCAAGAGTTTTTGGCTTGATCATACTTATGACGAGCTCAAAGATCTTTTGTTTCCTGCAACTGATACAACAAATGCTACTTCCACATTACTTTCTAATCCAGATAATGTTGATGAAGAGGAGTTTGAATCCAGGTTTTGATGTTTTTTATTTCTTATTTTCATAGAATTATAAAATTAGAATTAAAGTATAGTTTTGTTTCTTTCTAAAATTCCCTTCTTTTTATTTTTGAGTTGCAGTGACGAGCCAATAATGGAAAGCCTACGGGGAGGTGTGTCTGCTGCAATTGATATAAGAAATGTTGCTTTCAGGTTTGATGCTTTTAATTTCTTAATTTCGTAGAATTATAAAATTATAATTAAACTAGTTCTTGTTTCTTTCTAAAATTCATTGTTTTTTTAACTGCAGGGAGGCAATATTGAAACAAATCCTAAAGAGAGATGTGTTCGACCTAGCCACATATTTAAAGCAATTAGTGAATAAATGGGAGCTGATTAGGGATTTTTGGATAGAAATTCTTGTCTATGCAGCGGTTTCAAGTCAGAAAATTAATCACATGAAGCAGCTAGGCGAAGGCATTGAATACCTCTCCATCATCTGGCTTTTTGTAGACTTTAATATTGTAAACCGAAGTATTGAACACGAAAAAGCAGGGTTGTTGGGGAGACATGCAGCGGGACGACATTAAGTGATCTATTACATGTTTTGATACTATATTGGAATAAAAAGATTACATTAAAAAGATTAATCTATTAGTTTCATGAGTCTTTACATATATAAGTCATTCTTTCTTTCTATATTTGTGAAGGCCGGTGAGAGTTCATCCATTTTTTTTTATATATATACATGACATAGTTTGACATACATACATACATAACATTATCCATGGGTATACTCATCATGGCACAACATCATCCATGAATATACTTTTCATGGGTTTACATTCTTCACATATGTATAAGTCATTCTTTTTTTTGGTATTTTTTTTCACCATGAGCAGCAGGATGTTGAGGTCCGAAATTCGAAGTGAAATTTTTTATTTGCCTATTCCTAGTCGTCATGGGAAAGAAAGGCAGAAATAAGAAAGAGATTATTCCCTGAGAGCTTGTCCAGTACTACCAGTAGCTGAAATGCATCTCCTTCGCCTGCTCGTGATAGCTCTAATGTGGGATTTTAGTTCTTCATACTCAAGGGAAACATACTTCAACAAGGGTGACCAACCTCTGTGGGCTTGGCGGCCTAATGTTTCACATATGAATTACAATGTATAATTCAAGAAGTAAAATAACACAATTTATGTTACTTTCCTAACAAAATTATATCTCGTATTTGTTGCATACTTTGATCTTTATAAATTGTGATTACTCCTGAAGAATCAAATTTAAAAATAAAAATTGTTTTCCAAACCAAATGAAATATCTTGATAAAACCTCGTCGCATCTATTTTATATATCCCCAGTCTAATTTTTGTATCTTTTGTATTGTGGATTTGACCTTTGCTCTAAGATTTATGTATATTTATTTTGCATTTTGTTTGATGATTGTTGTTGTTGAAATTTTCTGAAAGTGAGGCTTGAGACTACTGAAATTATCCTGTAAATAAGCTCTGTTTAACTTGGTTTAGGCCTAGGATCTGTTCTGCCCATTTTTAGTAATTTTCTGGAGTTTTTCTTAAATTTTTCTTGAAGTTGCTGGAAACTGTAGAATTAGGTCGGCATTCATCCGGAATTTCGTGAACTAACCGGATCCTGGAAAGCCGACACTAGAGGGTTCTTTTCTTTTCTTTTCTTTTCTTTTTTTTTTTTTTTCTCCGTTCTTTTATTTTTGGGCTGAGCTTTCTTTTTCCTTTGAGCGATACCCGATTCTTTTGATTGGGCCAACTACTAACGTAAAAAGGGGATTAAAATGAGCATGGGCCAGATTTAAGACATGGTTGGGATTGAAGAATGCTTTGTCAAGGTATGTCATCTCCTTCAGTCAGTTATTTTGAACGTTTAAATGTCCATTTAATTAAGATGAAAATGGCGGAAACATCTTGAAATTTATGTACTGTATAGTTTATTAGTTAAATTTTTAATCTTAGGGACAGAGGAGATACATTTATCCTAAATGTAATAATTTCGAGTTTTCTTGATTTCTGCAACAATTGGTAAATCACATCTTTTTAGTCATCTCCAATCTAGGTAACTGTCATGTTATATAGGGTTTTGTTGGGGCCTTAGCTATGTTGAATATTGTTGTGAGATCTAATCATAGATTTTGTGACTCAAAAGGCCATACATAGTAAGAAGGTTACTTTCAATATGACATATCAGTTTATGATTTTATAGAGAATTGATTTCAATTGCATCCCTTTATGTTTCTTTTATGATTGATTTCATCTGCATTGCATTTCGTTGCTTTTATAATGATAGTTTGTATTCTGTAAAATTGTAAATATCCTTGATTTGTCATAGACTCAGGTTCAGACTCCAGTAACACCTTTACGCACAAACACACTTTCTTTTCATTGCACTAATTGAAGTTTAAATGTGGATGGTTTTGGTTTAGTTTTGGTTTGCGAACTACAAAGGTGGTGTTTCTTCACGGTCCACCTGGCACGGGTAAGACCTTTTTGGTTAGGTTATGCATCCATGATGCTGGTGCCAGTCCTTTTCCTGTGAATGGACCTGAGATTGTTAGTCAGTATTGGGGAGCAAGTGAGCAGGCATTGCATGTACGTAGTTTTTGATTCAGCTACCAAAGCTGCACCTTCTGTGCTCAGATTTCTTCTCTCCAAGGTCCTTCGTCCTTTTTATATATTATCATCCTTCTGTGGGTTATATATTGTCGCACACATGTTCAAGGATGGGATATCTACTATATAATGATATTGGAGGATTAGTAGCATATATAGTTAGATATGGTTTCTATTGCAGCAGCTGAACTTTATCACAATTAAGTTTTAATTTTTGACATTATCTTCTGAACATAAAATCCTTTAATTTTTTTAGTAAAGTTGATGACTGCACTTGGAACCTTAAATGTTCTGCCTTCAACTGCCTTGGCAATGCAATTCTCTTTTCCTTTCTCTTAATATCAGTTTTTTGTTTTATAGATATTTATTCATGAGTTGGATGCCATTATTGCCCCTGCACGGAAAGATGGAGCTGAAGAGCTATGACAAAGAATGGTTGCTACTCTGTTGAATTTAGAGGATGGAATTAGTAGAATTGATGGCGTACTTGTGATTGCCGCTACCAACGGGCCAGATAGCATTGAACCTGCACTCAGGCGGCCTGGAAGACTTGACAGGGACCTTAAGATTGGTAATAATACAATAGGTTTTCTCTTTTGTCAATTGAAATTATTTTTCTTGGAAATGTTAAAAATTAAAAGAAAATGAATTCCTGTTTTAGATTGCATGTTGATAAGTTATGCTGTTGGAGATTGTCAATATGCTGGGGGTTGCATTCTTCGCTAAGCTCTGTGGTGCTAAGAGCTTGGCAGTTATGAGTTTCAGAATGTTGTCAATTTATACATGCATGATGTGAGAATGCCCACCCAGGCTGCAGGGACAATGTCAAGTATTTTAATTATCCAGTTTGGAAACCAATGTGAGAATGGAAAGGATAATGAAATGAATTAATACTTTTTTTTTTTTTTGAAAAGAAAAATATATATTAATTTTGGAATACTGGGGGTATTCCAACCCGTTGAAATGAATTAATACTAGGGACATAACAAGAGCATTTTAACTTGAAGTCATGCCAACATATATTTTTTGTCGAATTTCTTCTTGGATCCAAAGTAAAATGAGAGGAAGGTTCAATAAGGGAAAGCCAAGAACTGGTCAATGACAAATAAATGACATAAACAACAAACATGGATGAGAAAGACTAGTAGAATAACTAGCCAAATTATTGGCAAAAAAGTGC